TTGTTGGAATAAGGTATATGCAGTCTATGGAGACAACTGAATTTCCCAGTGCTCCTGGTTCTCAGCTCACAGAAACACATATACTGTATTTTTCCGTCTATGATCTCTTTGATGGGCTTCAGTTTGCTTATAAAGAAAATAGATCAACCGAGAAATACTTCATTTCCCTGTGTTTAATGTTTGCTACCACTCACCTGTGATCACTCTGTGAAACTTCTTGTCTCCTAGAGTAGAATTATAGGGTTTAAGTAAGATTAGACCTAACTTAAAACTAATCACAAATAGGAGGCAATCCAGTAGTAAGTCACAATTAGAATAGGCCCACTGGATCAGTGAGTTGACTCGCTAAATCCCCACCAATTCAATGCTTTACTCTAGTAAAGTACTCTAGTACTCATAGATTATTTCCTGAGAAAACAAATCTAGGAGCTGTATTCTTTAAGCTCAGCTATGCAGTATATTTTTAGGCTCCCCCCAGTACAGAGCGTGGCAGACCTATTCCCTATCTAGCAAGCTGGTTGATAGCATCAAGATGTTGATTTTCTCAAAGATATGCGCATTACTTTTGTCTTGACATGTTATTTGAAAAAGCTCAAATAAATTTGTTTTGAGTGCTCTTGGCAAATATCTGAACATGTGTTCTGAAGTGAGAGCATTAATTTTTTTTAGTAGAAAAAGCACGTTATGTAGTAGAACAAGATAAAAACTCTTAAAGGCGCGTTCCAAACTGCCTCCCAAAAGCCGGGAACGGCAAGGACTTAGCTGTTAACATCTTGGTTTTTGGCACTCTTGTTCAGCCTTAGAAGCAATACCATCGCTTGCAGCCTAGATCACAACTCCATTGGTTTCACTGCCGGTGAGAGTGCAGATTGTCCGAGGAACCTGCCAGCTACAGGTTAGGCTTGCCTTGAGCAGTAGCTGCTCACCATTTCCCTGCTGAAATCAAAATTCTTAATTTAAGACTTCTACGGTAGCAAAGAAGAAGAAGAAGAAAGAATTGTGACAACTTGGAGACAAACACATCTATTCCAGCAATCCACTTCTTCAGACACTTTTATTAATCTCAAAGGTGCCACAGAATGTTTATTTTTTGTTTCGGCCTTGGTTTTGTTCCTGCAGACACAGGCTAACATAACAGTCTCTCTGAAAACGTCTACTGTAATTATTCATAATTCCTTATTAAAAGATAGGGAAAAAATGGTATGCATTAGAGCTCCCAGTGTTTATATGTTCCTTTTTCTTTGAAACATATAATTAAAAACACTAGAAACTACGCATAGTATATTCTAATAGCAACAAATGACTCCAAACATATAAAGACTTATGAAACTGCTCCACTTCCCAATGTGTTTTCAACAAATGCTACCGAGGATCGCAGAAATCATTTATAAATGTTTCTTTGACACTCTGGAGCATTTTCTCAAAGTCTCAGTGTAATTCAAATGGTTTCGGTCAACATGCGTACACCCATCTAAGTTTGTTGGTTACTGCCAAAGAAAGCATTTGCCCTTGGTGTATCCTGGGGATACTGAGAGTGTGCCTGCTGACACTGGTAATTGTCCACCCTAGTCTACCTACAATGCTCTCTTCTTGGAACTGCATGTTCACTGTAAACCAGAGAAAGTGTATATGTTGTGGGTCAGGTGCAAACAGCTGTGACCCCGCTTGTACTGCAAGTCCAAATTGCAGCATTTTTTTTCCTTTACAGTAGGATCCCCTTATTTGCAACATTGGTATCCACAGTTTCACTCACCTGCGGTATGAAAATATTAAAAAGTTTAAAAGAAAAACAAACAGGAATAAGTATTCCCATTATGTAATTACCAGAATTCACCACTAGAGGAAGCAAGAGACCATGCTATGTATAGGTTTCGCTATTATCCACAGTTTTCAGCATCCACAGGTTGGTTGGAACTGATCCCCCGTGGATATGGGGGTCCCACTGTATTTTAATTTGATGTGCACAGTGTTGTCATGGGTTTATCAAAGGCTAGTGGCAACACCATGTGATGGGAACATCAAGACCCACTTCCTCCCAACCTTTAAAATTTGTTTGTAAAGCTTTCGTGCATATATTTGGATGTGCAAATCTAATCACTAGTATAAGAAAAAGAATCACACGTTCGCCTGTGTGAACAGAGAGGAAAATATGAAGAGGGGGGAGTGAGGCAGCGGTGAACGGAAGGGAACAGATTGGCAGATACTGCAGGAAAAGGAGGGAAGGTCCTGTACTGCCCAAAACTGTGGAGTATCTGTAAAAACTAGAACAGAAAATAATTGAACTGGGTGCCATTTTGAACCTCAGTGGTGCTTGGTGTAATTTATTATGACAGGTGTCATAATAGTGTAATAGCTGTTAAGGGACAATGTAGTAGCGCTTTGTTGTCACAGAAGATCTGCACTTGCAATGTAGATATTTATTTATTTATTTATTTGTTGTTTGTTTATTTGTTTATTTGCCACTTTTAGCTCCATAGGGGACACAAGGCAGCTCACAATAGATAAAGCAACAGGTTTTAAAACACTGTATGAATATCATATTTCAAGACAATCAAAACATATATTAAGATTTTAAAAATCAAGTTTAAAAACCATTTTAAAACCATTTAAACATTTGTTAAAAAAAACACCTTCACAAACTTCATTTCTGACAGAACTTTCTGCTTAAAGGCTTGCCTGAAGAGGAAGGTCTTTGCCTGATGACAGAAGGACAAGAGGGAAGGGCCCAACCTGGCTTCTTGGGGCAGTGCATTCCGAAGCCTGGCAGTAGCCACTGAGAAGACCCTCTCTTGTGTCCTCACCAAATGTGCTTGGAAGGTGGTGGAACCAAGAGAAGGGCCTCTCCAGAAGATCTGAGGAACTAAAAACACTCATATTGGGTGATACAGCCCTTCAAATAGCCTGGACTTTGGCAACGTGGCAAGAGATGTTGTGAGGTTGTAGCTAGAATGGCAGAGAAAGAGAGGGAAAATGCGATCCAAAATCCCATCAATCATGAACATTACTTGGGCCATTAAATTTTCTCTACAGGCTTCTCTCAGAGGGTTATTATGTAGATAAAAAGCCGGGGGAGGGAGTTGCACTACACCAAGGTGGAGGAATAAAATTGTAATGAGTAAAATGCTATTGCTGGTTTTTCAGAGGAGAACTAGCGCCCAGACAAAGCTGGGTCATTTTTCATTTTAAGGAATGGAAATTTGGGAATAGGGCACTGTATCAAATACGTTTCCTAGAGTGGTAGCTTTTGATTCTGGAACAAATCTGGGCCATTCACTATCAATTAAAGGTCAGAAGTTGAAAGTTACAATTGCCAAAGTGTTAGGAGGATGTGTTTAGAAGTAGTCTGAATAAGTGTGAAATAAGGTAGGATCCTGAAATGACAGAACTTCAATTACCCTATCCTTTGAATAAACAAAAGCATGTTGTACTCCCAATATCTTCTAAGTTGAAGTATTTCATAGGTTTTCTATATAAATGTTTATTACTGCTTTCATATTCAAGGACCCAAATTATGTCACAGTGCATGCCTGAGCCAGCCTAAGAGATCTAACACATTTCAACCAAAGTTTAATGCTGCAGGAAATACTGAATCATTAATGTTAATAAGACAATGTTGATGAAAATTCCAGGCAATGAAACATAAAATATTGCTGTGTTCATTGTTTACTAGCTGACAGCTCAGCACCACTTTATCTGAAAAGACCCTGAAAGTATTCTATCAATCTAAGGCATTTCCACTGATTTTCTATGGTATTGGTTTCACATTTACCCTGGATTAATGGAGTAAGAATCTGATAAACTTTCAGATATTTCTCTGTCTAAATCTCAACCACATTTCACTCTTTAATATCTTGGCCCCTGAATCCTAAACACATTAATTTTGACATATTTCAATGGATTTTTCCCCTCAAAGTAAAGAAAAACCTTTCCAAAGAAGGTTTGTGAATAAATGCTGAATCATAGCATTTATGATTCACCCCCTTTTAAACTCCTCTTTGAAAGACTGAGATGTCAGAATGGGCCCTAATTCTGCCTAGGATCTAACCATTCTCATTATTCAAGGTAATGAGACTCTCTTTCTTTCCTTCCCTCCTCCTCTGAAAACTGAAAAAATGCTCTCTGAGATGGTCAAGGGAAATTAGGTTGCACATAACTGTCCTACACAATTACCTGGAAAGAACCCCTCACATGAACTTAGAGCTCATCATCTGAGCAGACAAATGTAAGACTGCACTGAAAAGGTCAGACTAAATAGTCAGAGGATTTCCAGATATTAGCATGTTCGACCTCCTATGAGAGGATGCCTGAGAAACAAGACTTGCATATTGGACCTATGTGCACCTTTCAATGATGAATCGCAAAACAAAACACCTTAGGATGCAAGATAATTGTGGCGGACATGGAGATGTATTAGGACAAAGAGTTGTTTTAATAACTAGATAGGTTTCTAACTAAGCATAATGTCCAATTTGACCCTACGTTGCATCAGTCTTAGTATAATGCTTTAAATATAATGCCATTTAATCAATGAGAAAAGAATGGTGAGAACTCCATACAGTTTGTGCAACATGTTGTGATTAATTGGTAAGTGTGCTTCTTGGTAGCCCAATCAGGCACTTAATTAGAACACATCCTGACACTTTGCCAATTAGCCACAATTAGGAATGGCAAATTACACAAACACCATAAACGCCAACAAGATTGTGGCTGTTATTGTAGAAGGAAGGTGTTAATTAACCATAGTTAGTGCTACAATCTTATGTATGTACTTTATATAGAGAGTAATACATCCCATAAAAGATTAGTAGGAGGTGTTTAGAACTAAATAAGTCCAGGATTGCAGCCTAAGGCTATCCTGAAGCTTACTCCACACCCCAACCCTCAAAATAACTTAAGAACTAAGAAAACAATAAATAGTAAGGTGAGGGAGTTCTGTGGCCCCTAATCTAGGGAGGGAGCTGAAGAGAGCTGAAATTTTGATCCTGTTTATCTCTTTCTAGGTTCTGTTGCACCCCAACCTCCAACCTGTAACAGTGACCAATTCACTTGTGTGTATGTGAAGCAGTGTGTGCCCCTGTCTGCAAAATGCAATAGAGTGGAAGATTGTGCTGATGGAAGTGATGAAATAGCTTGTCCCATTGAGAAACCTACTGCAGCTTCCCCAAGGCTCTGTAAGGACACCGAGTTCCAATGTGCCAACCAGCTGTGTATCCCATCACTCTTGAGATGCGATGGTGTGCCTGACTGTATGTTCAACGAAGATGAAGCTAATTGCCGTAAGTCACAAACTCGCTTGCAATTGTTTTCTTAAAAGCTTTGGACACAAAAATGACCAACTTCACTTCAGGTTGAATGTGAGAAGGCAGTGTGGTCCTTTCCAAGGGTTTTGACGTAGAACTTCCCATCATTAGAGGTAGCAGAATTTATATCTGAACAAACATGCATAAGGTTGTGCTGTAATTTACTGAAAAGCAATAGACCATCGTTTGTTTCTCTTTTAGTTCAGGCAGGGACAGAAAGTAGATCTGGATAAATCTCAAGGTGATTTGTAATAGATTGGAAGGAGTTGTTAACGAGTGAGGGGGGAAGGCTGCCCATCCTTCCCATTCCCATGATGTTGCTGGAACTGCAAAAGTTTGTGTTTAACACGTGGATTTTTGTATGGAAGGACACGGAGCTCTTACCACAACTGATTCTTAGGCTCAAATTATTGTGCAGTTTTGGTTGCTGGGAGCTGCCTTGGGTCCTCTGTTGATAAAAAAATGACATCAGAAATCTATTTTGAGTTTATAGTTGAAGAAAGAAAGAAAAAGCAGATCCTGCAAGCTGGATATTTGCCAATTCCTGTTCTAATTCTCTAGACATGACATACCCTAGTCCTTCAGAGAGCCATGCCCATGTTTCAGGGATTCTGAAACTGTAGTCCAAAAAAAGAGAAGTGTGTCTAAAAATGTGTTCTTAAAAATGTGGTACACTGTTTATGGCACTGGCAGACATTTACATTTCTGTATAATGATGAAAGTGAGGCTGTCCTATTTGGGGCATATCTTGAGAAGACAGGTTTTTCTGGAAAAGGCAAGAATTCTAGGCAATGTGGAAGGCAACAGGAAAGGAGGAAGACCAATTTGGAGATGGAATGACTCCCCAAAAGAAGCCACAGGCTTGAGTTTGCAAGAGCTGAGCAGGGCTGTTGAGGATAGGACATTTTGGAGGTCACTCATTCATAGGGTCGCCATAAATTGGAGTTGACTTGATGGCACATAACAAGCACAATATATAATGTCAGCATCATATAATACATCGTGTTCATTCCAAATTCCAAGATACCCTCTCAGTCTAGAAAGCCAAGTAGTTACTTAAAAAAAAGAAGAAGAAGAAGAAGGCTTCTCAGTACCACAGACCACCCAAATTCTTTTCTGGGCATTGGCCTCAATTTCTGTCAAGTAAAAAATATTTTCCTAGAGCAGAAGCTAGACTGAGGAATACATATGCTCTGTAAATATAAGACAAAAATCTAGAATTAAAAGTGAAGCAATCCAAAAAACTGTCACTCAGATTTTTGGAAGCCTTCATCTCTGCCACTGGTCCCACCACAAAATTCTTGGCTTGTCTGATTTAAAGATTTGTGTAGACAGAAAGTTTCCGGCAAGACTGTCAGAAGAGCTTGATAGTAGGGTATATATGTTAGTGGCGCATTATAGCTATTATTGTCCTCTCAACCCCGGAATAAAGACGTGAGACAAGAATTATGGATTAAAACACGGGCCATTTTATTAATCGTAATCAATGTTGCCATCCTTTGGCAAAGGGGGGCCTGCCATAGTGCGGAATCAGGTTAAACTGTAGTGATCTCAAAGGCCCCTTAAGCAAAAACGGGTGAGTCCCTGGCCCCACGTTCTCGCAGACAGTGAGAATCTGGTTGGCTGCGATTTGATCACCTACGGAACTCAAGCCAGCTTCTCCTTGTTGACTGTTGGTCCGGTTGGGGCCCCAGCATATCTTTCCCGCCAACCACTGTAATTGCACAGTCCGCAACACTAGGACGTCAGATGGGCTATAGCTTACTTGAGTTTGTAATGGGATTCACCAGAAAACTTGTTACAGTGGTGCCTCGCATTACGATGTTAATTCGTTCCAGCGAAATCGCTGTAGAACGAAAATGTTGTAATGCAAAATAAAAAAGCCCATAGAAACGCATTAAAACCCAATTAATGCGTTCCTATGGCAAATCAGAAAAGGAAAGGCACTGAAGATCATATTGCAAAATATACATAGCTATTGGAATTTTAATTGAAAATCACTCTGAGTTTTTAGATTATAGTGAAGCCTTTGACTATGAAAATAATGTAAATCAGTAGATCACCCTAAAGGAATTTCAGTTCTTTTAAAAAAACCTCTGGTTTATGAATGTGGGATATTGCGTTTCTGTAACCAAGATTTCATCGCAAAGTGAAATTCCCCCATAGGAAACATCATTTTCCGATCGCAAAAGCGATCGCAAAAACTTCGTCATAATGCGATTTTGTCGTTAAACGGGGCGCTCGTCTTGCCAGGCACCACTGTATATCTGCACTACCTGCCACAGCATAGGGATTATCCATGCTAAGTCCCATGCCTGCCATCGAGCCTATAAAGCTCAGCAAGTGGGTTTCCCTTGATGTCTTCAAGGAAGACATCCAAACCCAAATTGAACAGATGTACACCATCGTTCTGAAAAAACGCAGTCCTATCCAAGTGGATCCTCTGGTGACCAATCACCAATCCAAGGCTGGCACTGATCACTCTGCAAACCTCCTGGTTAACACTCCTGCATGCTGTGTTAATGGGGAAAAATTCCTGCCATCTCTCCATGCCAACCAAGGGACAATCATCGACTGTACTATACGTATGGCCAGATACGTGGCCTTCAACCATCTCAGGTAGCATAAAACGTCCAAAATGAAGCCTTTCCATGAAACCTGGCCAAATCGTTGCCACCCAGATGTATTACCAATAGATCTGATGGAAATTGGCCAAAGGCCACCACCCTGCATAACTGGCTCCACAGCATTCCACACAGCCCTTTCTATACGATGTGGGCTCTGGCTGCAAGGCCCAGGTTGTTCCCCCATGGGGATGCAGCCGCATAACGCACTGCCCAATAAACGTCGCTGCGGCCCAAAATCACAACATGTCATCATCTCTCCATCACCACAGAACCTGCAGAGACATAACCAAACCAGGCCCCTGCCTATACGTTAGGAAGTGTTCTAATATACCTACAAATGCCTACAATAATTGGATTAAGACCACCAACCCAGACACTTAATTTCATCTGTATGGTATCCCAAGGCCGCAGCTGTGGAGGCCCTGAAACCCTGTGTATCTTATGGCGTATAAAAGGGAGAACTAAATTGTCCACTGCCAGCCCAAGGCCAGGCAGGAATTGGTGACTGAGTGCCCGGTGCAATGGCTGACTCACCTGTTGAAGGCGTTGCCTGGCTCCTCTCTGCCATATAGCTGATCCAGGTCTTCTATGTCCACCACTTCTTGCCTGTTGGAACTACAGCTGCAGAACCAGACGGGGCCATAGTTGATGCCCTTCACCTTTTGTCCATATACCGTGACCGTGGTGTAGCTGTTGTCCTATCTGCATCACCTCTGGATGTCCCTGCCGACTGCTGCTCCGCTTCAAGAACAGTAAATCTAGACATCAGGTGATTAGTATTGCTTTAAGATTTCCCTTACGATGGCTGTTAGCCTCCCTAGCTAAGTGACATGGCTCAGCCTCACTGGCCTGAGGTGCCTGTCGCTCGAGTGATAATTTTGCAGGCTCCAGAGCAGATATTTTTTTTTCTTGTAGCTGCTGCCTTACAGGCCAATATTCCTCATCTGATGAAGATTGAGGTGGGGGCCATTTCCTGTTTGGTTGTTTCCCTTTTTTCTTGCCCTGACCCTTACGCATAGCACTAATTCTGAACCTAGCACCACGAGTCTCACCAGCTTAGCTACTAAACTCAGTTATCAATCCCACATTGCATAGACCACCACCAAAGTGCAAGAAAAGATTAGCTTACAATTCTTGGCTGTAACCACTACCCCAATGTAACCCAGCCTCTGCACATTGAAGCACTTTATAACTTCCCAAAACCACTATTAATCACTTTAATTAAGTATGCTATGAAAACAATGAACTATGCTTCTTTGAGTGATTACCTGCAAATAAATTATTTATTCAGCTTGGAATTGAAGCCAATATCCAATTAATTTTAGTGAAATAGCTTTTCTGCTTTCTAATGTATAAAATATAACTAATTTTAATGCTACTCCAGAAGCCCCTAATAATTAATTGCCAGAGTCAAATTAATTAAATGAGCCTACACACCTACCTATACCTAACAGAATTATTTATTTATTACTATATATAATATCTTATTAATTTCTAATTGATTCTATTATTAATTTAATTTTCTTCTTGTTTTTAATCAATTATTTATTTTATTATCTATTTATTACTTATCACATTTATATCCTTGATCTAGATGGGGAATGAATGTAAAACTATTCAAATCTGGTGCCTCCTGGCCTCAGCTACGTCACCAAGTCACCAAACTGGTGGCGCTATTCGCATGGAGCACTACCCAGACTCTATAAACTCCAACCCCTGGAGTAAGTAGGATGGTGTGTGTGTGTGGGGGAGAATCTAAGCACCAATGGCCATTGGGCCTAACAATCATGCCGCACACACCCCGAGCTGCTGCAGATCCTCCAAACTGACTGCTGTGGCTCCAAGAAATCGCAGCAAACCTCGGCTGCCTCCTACTTACCCGACCCTCTCAAGCTGTGGGTTAATGAACCGCCGAGCAAGCGAGGCGTGCTCGACACTGGCCCTTTGGCTGAAGTAAGTCTCCTATATTTATCTCCTTAAAGCTACCCAGCAACTATTCAAGTTTCAATTGTGCCGAGGTGCGATCCCCCCCTTTCGCAGCACTACCCCCGTAATAATAAATTTATTTAAACTTAAAGTAATCAATATAAATTAAATTCACACAGAGTTTATGGGAAGGTACAAAAATTAGCCAAGTAAATCAAATGACATTATGAATCAGACCACAGGGGGTAGCCGATGCTACCCCCCTAGACTCCCGAGTGATGTCCTCAGAGGCCTCCAAACAATGATGCACTTTGCAACAACACAGCGTTAGCAGAGCTCTCTCCTTTACTGGTGCCAGAAAAGGAAGAGGCCGGGCAGAGGGGGGAACGTCCTTAAATAACCTGACGCTCCCCCCTCTCACCT